TTGTGTGAAACTTCAGCGACAAACAGAATTCTGAGAAGTGTACGTACGCATACTTACACACATACCTTTCTCAGAATCCTTTTTATCATTAACGACTCTTAAGTTTCACATAATGTAATCTATCATTAAAACTGACGAATTAATATATCAACATACTTATATGTATAGAAATTATTAAAAGATTTAATAACTACACACATTCTCCGATTTCCTAGATTTTCTGAAATCGCATTCGATAAAACGCTTCGACGCAATTATAAGTGGAAACAATCTTGTGGTACGGTCACGTGGTTATTAAATAATTATTTTAATAATGCATACACATTTTATTTATCGCATGCTCCGCGAAACTTTCAATCTCATACGTCGCGTTAGACATTTTTTTATTTTTGCACAATTAATAAATCGCTGTTTTTGTACTTCCGCAATGGCACAGGAATAAATACGTAACTGCGAGATGACGCGAAACAATCATATCAATAATCAACATTAATATTAAGAGGGAAGCAAAAACAAGTTTATACATAATGTAAAAGTATTTCTAAATTATAACATTTGGGATACAATCTTGTACTTTTATCAATGAAAATCTTATCGTGTATTATTATAGTCTTTCTTAAGATTTAACAGTATATATCTGATCTCCGGATCCTTTTACAAGTTTTCGATTTCCTTACATTTGTCAATCTGTGGGTAGTCTCTTTAGCGCATGCTACACGCAGAAAATAGATTTTCATTCAGAATTGATAGACTGCAGGTACACACATATGAGTGTGCCTCTCGTCCGACGATCGACGCCGGGCTATCGCGAGAGGCGATAACTATCAATACAACGTAGTATTTGTACATTTATAGTTTGGCGAAAGTGAAATTGTGTAAGTTCAATCGACTCGCGCGTACGCGTTACATCGTCATCTACGAATATGCGAATATTGGTAAAGCGCGGCGGAGAGATGCGAGAAAAATTAAATCTACCGCTAAAGGATCGGGCGTCAGGTATTCTCTGCGAAACAGAAAAGACGTAGCTTAAACGAGATCACAATATATAATACTGCTTCGTTACGCCTTTCTCCGTGTCCATGAAGGGGAGCATCGGACGCGGAAGAAGACGGAAGTAAAGCTTTACGTAAAGCTCAGATCTTTGTACGTTTTTTTCTTTCTTCTCGGAACGTTATGCGCGCCGATCGAATCTGTCGTGCATCTCCGAACGATGCACAATCGCGATTCCCATACCTGCCATCAGCTTCCGCGACACGGGGCTGTTACGTGAATTATTACAACCTAACTCAATAAATAAACGCTAAAATTAATGAAGAATCGGAGAGGGGAAGGAATACTGGTTGCGAAACGTTTCCGGTTTTCTCGATCGAATTCGTTAGAGAAGGAGATGGGGCCCGTATTCTTATTCATTAGAGACAGAGGCAGGCCCGTATTTGTTATCGATTGTGAAAATTCAGCAATTTTTTAACATTTATATTTGCCAGCCACGGCTGGCAGAACTCGGACTATCTGCTAAACAAGAATAGGCAAGCGGAAAGGAGACGGACGACAAAAATAACTTAATGAATGACGGTTGATTAACGGTCGTATATAGTAAAGATAAAATATATCGGATCTGGAGTTCTTCTTCGCGCGCCGAGGCGCGAATTCATTTCAGCAGGCGGAGCTCGTTAGTCTGTACCTGAAAATCAGCATCATCATTATTGGCGTGCATAATATTTTAATGCAAATATAAAATTCTAATTAAATAAATCTATCTCTATAACTTCGAAATTACAATCACGACAAGGAGGGAATTGTCTGATCGAAATTATTTAAAGCCATTGTCTTAAAACAAGTCCGAGATAAGAAAGAAATCTGAGAATGCATGTTTATACTCTCACCGTCCGATCGTCGTCTTGCGATCCACGAAACAAGGGATTGTTCTCTTCGGTCCATTCGTTCCTGTTGGACGCTGCAGGTCGTTCGCGGCTGTTCTTCATGCCGGATCTCACGTTTCTGCCAGCGTCCGACACCGATCTCTTGCCAATGCTCTCGAGGAAACGACGATTCTCGTCGACTTGCCGCTGATCCTGCAGTGCCTTTCTACGCGCCAGCTCCAGCATGACTCTCTGCCTCAGCACGTCGAAATTGTTGACGATCGACAGGGACCCGATCCTCTTGGTGCGCATCACGTCTGAGCCGAGATCGTTCTCCGAATTCAGCATCTCATCCTATTCAGCGTAACGAATATTGGTCACGATTAATTCTTTAAAATACTGAGGGAAGGAAGATTATGAACACTCTGCTGATAGAAAACGGCAAACTGATTGTTCGCAAATAGATCATCGATCTTTCGTTATCAAAATAAGTTATAATTATCGCAAGAGAAAAAACGTTTTCGTATTTTATAAATGTGCATTTTATAAACGCAATCTCGCCATAGATTTTTAGCGCTTTGACCGCGTATTGATATGATAAAAAATATATTTTAGTTCTCGATACAAATACATATTTTTACAATAAAAATCGAGGGCTTTATTAACCATGTATAAGTTACCCCCGAGAACCCGTTTTGTCCCGCTTTAAATAATGCGATTAGATTACAGCGGTAAAATTTTTATGAACATCCCATTCTATTGTTGCGTGAACAATAACTATGCGCGATAAAACACTGTCAGCTGTTCCATTACGTTATTATACCTAGTTAGCTAACAGCGGTGACAAGCTTGTGCATTCTAATCTTATCAACCATATGTTACTTAAAGCTTTACTAATAAAATTTGTGGCAAGACTTTTAAGCCTTAACCCTTTCAACTTTTTTTCTGTTGGATTTTATATAACATTTTTTTATATAACAAACATATTTTTTCGAAAAAATGTAATTTTAATTTATGTGCGGTAACATTTATGATAAAAAACCAAAATTTCTATACATATTCAGTTAAATATATGCATTATACATACATAATTAAAATTAAATTTTGAAATTCTTTTTGAAAAATATGTACAGTGTGCATATTTTATGAAAAATGTGCATTCATCATGTCTGAAAGCATCGCGGCACTTAATGTTATTAACATCTGGCATTTAGTACCTTGATAATTAATCTAACAATTAAAGTTCCGCAATGATAAGGTCATTTTGAATTCAAACAAAGAATGGACTCAAGCGAGATAACTCCTTCATGAATAACTTTAGGTATTAAGGGCAATTTGAAATTTACATGCTCCTCCGTAGCTACAATTTATCGTATGACGTCTTCCCGGGTACAATGTTGCAGGTACTTTTGCTTTACCGCGCTTTTATGTTGCGCTTTATGTTCCCTCGGCTCATAAATAGCGATTTCACGGTCGTATATTCCATTGCATATTCTCGCGAAACAATTCTTTCGAAACGCTGTTTTTTTCCCTCCTCCTTTCTATCGCGCGAAACTTACAGATCGATTTGCGCCAATTGTCGCGGCAATTGCGTATTCGCGCGCGGCTTAAAGACAGTCGAAGGTGCGCGACCCCTCGAGCGAAAGCTCGCGAGACAGCTTTCAACTTATACCGCGCGATGCACCGAACCGGAAAATACGTATTTACAGAGCTGGGCGAAGAGCGAATAATGAATGCACATGAATAATGAAGGCACCTGCCACCACCAGGTCGTCGTGTAATATTGTTGCTTTTCACGCGCGGCGTGCCTCGGAGCGAATAAAAAATTTCGGAATGCACTGCACATTTCTCGTTACATCTATCTGCCGCGCTTGCAATGCTTTAAAAGTAGCAAATGAACGGAGCATTTTGCCAAAGAATGCTACGCGCTCGAGTCATACACGTTTGTTCACAAAGGCGTTCCTAGAAATTTCCGATGTTAAGAAAAATAGCGATTCTGAAAGTCGAAAAATCATCGTTTTCTCTCGAAAGGTCAGACTTGAAGATAAATGGGGAAAAAAATCTATGTGTTATAAATAATAACGAAAACAGCTCGCTGTTATTAGAAGTAATAACGAAAATAGCTCCGCTGAGTAATATACAAAGATTTACTTGTGTGAATAATGGAAACGATAATTTTTCTGTTATTGCAAGATTGCATTATCGTGTACGCATAATTTTCTTCACATTGCACACAGCTTTCTTGAAGATGATACATTTATCTTTGCAGATACGACAGATATAACGACATAATATTTCCTGACAAGGCAGATATACTTTAGCGTTGTGCATTTTTATATTGACCGATACTAACAATAATATATCCGGCCTTTGAATTTTTATCGGAGCGAAAAGTACGCGTGGGAGAGGAAACCACGGATAAATAAGGTACGCTTTAGATCATCGAGCGTCGAAATCTATCCGCTTCGCAAGACGGCGGAACAGCAGCCGCACGGGAAATAAGGAGGAATGCAAATCCTCTGTAACATGACGTGGGATCTCCCGTGTGCAATAGAAATCAGGGAAGAGACGTTCTCCGTTCACAATTCACGCGCTCCTGATTCACTACGTATGTAACGATTGTAACGTATACGTTTACGTCATTTTCCGTCATTTTCCGATACCGAACCGCGAAGGCGCGACGCGTATAAGTGTGCGCGTCCATCTGCGCGGATACCGCAGTCGATCCGTTAACACGCACGGCCAACTATTCGAAATGCGAAGCGCTCGTAAACTAAGCGGATCCAACGAGACACGTGTCGACGCCGTGTTAGCCGACAACAATGGCATTCGTATATTTGGAATACGTTGTTCTATTTCTATTTCACGACGAGCGCGATTTCCGCGCGGCTTAGAACTTATCGACGGATTATTGATGAAAGGAAGATGCGTTCCGATAAGAGAGCATCCTCAATGATCTGTGATTCTTAGGTTTCAAAAAATATTTTTAGCTTCAAAATTTGATTTATCTATATAGAAATAAAATTAAAATTAATGAATATGATGTGGACATAAAGCACCTTTGATCGTTTTATAAATCAGGCCCTGGACAAAAAAGTTGCGACGATAATAATTCAACAAATTTATTGTCTTTATTAATTACAAAATTTCTAGCATTTAACTTAGATAGAAAAAATAATAAGAAAGCTTTTCCTAATATTCGTGTATATATTTTGTCAATATAAGACTTTCGTGTTTCTATATATATACTGTAGTTTTTACAGTGCGGTTTCTATACATTTAATTTTCTATATGTACAAGATAAAAAAGATTAGAAGGAAAAAGAATGGAAAAGATATAATCCTTATCATAAGAGATTAAAGTTGTCTTTAGATTGCGTTATCTTTTCGATTTCACAATATTTCTATTTGCCGTATTCATTTTACTCGAGAAAACATACCTCCAATTCTGGTATTCTTTGATCGATCAACAGGAAAATTTTGGGACGATCGTCCGACACGTCCCTACTTTCGTACGACGACAGAGGAGCGGAACTTGTGAGGCCGATTATCGTCGTCGACGCCAAGATACCGAGCAGTATCATCGTGCAGGAAGAATGTAAATTAATAACGTTCATCTGAAACACATCATCGAAAACGCTTGCAGGTGATAACAAGTCGGCAAAATATTTATTACGGACAGTGAACTAGATTTTTGTCGTAAAAAAATCTAGATATCATGCACAGAAAGAAAAGAAGTGTCAAATCGACCCTTGTATACTTGTACATACGCAAGAATGTATAATCTTGAAATGAGATTATATTGCATTAAACTGAGAAAACTTGCTTGAATGAAGTCATTTATATAGTTAAATGAAGTTTTAAGATGGTTCAATAAAAAAAAAGTTGAAATTCTTATAAGAAGATACATATTCTTGCGTATATACAAGTATATCAGTGATTGATTTGACACTTCCTTTTTTCCGTGTAAATTTCTTTATTTTCATAACAATATTCCACAGCATTCTTTCTTTGAATTAAATTGCATAACGACTTATGCATAATTTTTTTTCGCGTCGAGATACTCTTATCTCACGCTTTCGCCGCGTTTACGTCAAGATAGGGCTTCGAAGAAAAAGTTTGCAGAAAATTGTGCGAACACGCGCGCCCGTTCTTTGCGTGTCGAGTAATTTCCTTTTTTTTCTCACTTCTTTCCTGTTATTCTCCGGAGCTTATATTTGATTCGAGAGCAAACATTCTTTTATTGGATTTCGTCTTCTGCCATCCGTCACTGGGTGAGTTACGAGAAGTTAAGTTTCGGCAGCAGCGACGGCGAGCAGGTGAGAAGAGGTACTTTGTGCACGAATTGTGCTTGCCGTGCCAAACATCCGGTCGTTCGGCCTGAGGCTCCCTATCCCTCGATTCGCGTTAAAGCACGCACCCCGAGGGAGCTATCGCTCTGTTAAATTACTTTTACAATTTAACGTTCGAGTCGTAACTTTCGCACGCAATAATATATTTCTCACGAAACATTAAAACGTTCACAAGTCATATTAAACGCATCTAAACCTTAAATCTTTACAATTTCTACCTTTCCGTTATACTAGTAAGATTTACTTGACATTAAAAAAATAGAAAAAAAGGACAAGAGTGAAGAGAAAATTTGTTTCCTTGTGATGTGTTGTGATGTAAGATTTTGATGATATACTTGGAATTCTTTATTAGCATTTTTATACTTTTTCTTGATATTACGTGTAATTAATATATAAAATACGCTTTTAATTAAATAAATTCAAAATATTATATTGTTTTTCTTTCACTTAATTTTTTAAAAATATGCACTTTACCTATTTTTTATAAATTTTTGAAACAATAATTTTTTAAATTTGTTGTTAGCACAATTATATTTTAAAATTTTTCTATTATTAATTATTTTTATCGCATAAACAAATTCGAAGACGTTAGCACGTACAAAATGATAAACATTTCTGCGAGACGTATGGTCGTCGTCGTCGTCGTCGTCATTGCCCTACGTTGCCCTATCCGTTACCGCCGTTTTCGTTGTCGTCATCGTCCGGGTCCATTAACACCAAGGGGCTTAATTTACCGCCATCGTAATTTAGGGCTGCCGTCCCGCTTTTCAATTACACGCTGCGAGTCGACTGGCGACTCGATTCCATGTCTTGATTCCAGTCCCGTTCCCTCTATTACTATCTTTTCTTTCTAGTTGTGCCAGTGTCATAAGGTTCGTCACGTGGATTTTTAATGTCTAGACAGAGACTGGTACACTGGTCAAAGGGGATTAGGTGTCGCGTTATCAAAGTATCGCGCGACAAGCCATGTGACTGTTCGTTAGGCAACTTGGACAATTAGTAGACAACGTGGACGTTAAAAGAGACCTGCAAACTGAATCAACAACGGAGCACAGTTATTCAATCATCCTCGTATTTTATTTTTTGCGGTTAATTAAAGATTATTCCCTTCTGAAAGAAGAAAATATCACATTTCCTCAATATTTTTTTATTGAAGAAATATTGATTTCAAAGTGAAGAAAAAGATAACTTAAAATACAGGCAGAATAATCACTTTTTGGAAAAATTGCGAAACCGGAAAATAATGCGACTGAGACTTTAAATCTTAAGTACACAATCAAAATTGTCTCATATTTTTTTTTAGTACGAATATATATCTCGAGATTCTGTAATACAATTAAAAAATACGAATAAATTGCAATTAAATAATAAGCACCGGCTCCTATTGTTCAATTTAATCTATTTTTTATTACGTCTTACATCTAGAAAACAAAAATTCTTACAGCACAGAAATATCAAAATTCAACGATTAAGAAATGCGTGCAATTGTTCAGTCTTACTAATGATAATGCGATTTAATTACCCAATCTGAAAAGGAGAAATATTTTTTGTTAAAATTTAAATTAAATTTTAAGCACTAAATTATGCAGAATGCCAAACAATATCCTTTTATTTATTGTGTAACAATTATAATCGGTTATTTTAAGGATCGATAATGAAGTATAATGCAAATGTGACGCATAGTTAGACGGTAATTTGATCAATGTACTAGCGATGACTGATTAGATAATACGATACTACGAAATATTATATTAATAAATATTAATTCCAACGTTCCACTCAGGCTTTTAACAAAGTTATTAATCATATTACTAAATACTTATTATAAACTATAATACTGGAACGTTTTCCATGATAAATACCTACACTTAATAATTTCGCGCGGGTGTAATTATATTACAGATACTACTTTCCACTCTTTAATTAATAAGAACTGTAAATTTGTTTGAGAATTGAGAATTGAGAATTGAGAAAGAAATAATAACAGTCATCACTTTTCTTTTACCACAATTATTTTAGTTAGCTCAAAACACGTGTGCAATTGATTCGAGATATTTCAGTAGAAGAAGCCTTATCAAATCAAACCACGTAGCAACGAAGCAAATCTGATTTCATTCGCGCAATGTAAGATTTTTACTTCGAATCGAGATATCGTCGATAATCGTCGAAATCTGATTTTGCAAAGCGCTACAACGAGCAGCGATATTTCTTGGTCCGTTTTCCGATATGCAAATGATGCTGCAAATTCGAGATGAGATTGTTGTTCAAGCGTAATGGAGTTATCGCGGTAAATTGATGCGCAAATGTGACTCAAATTACGTTCTCGTTATCTGCATGTGACGATGCCCACCGGTACGTCATCTATGTAAATGTTCACTGATTGAGTGGCTCGTGAATGAAAGCCTGCAACAACGTGTCATTTAGGAAATATATAATTTAGAAAATTGACGCACGACATTTTGACAATTCTTACGTATACGCTTTTCCCCGAATATCCCAACTCTTTCAGTCTCTGTTAGCTCTGGATTTATCTTAATTTCGTACTCAGAACTATCAAATATTTAGAATTCATGGTGAACAGGATATCGATAGCTTTGAACGAAATCTCCTTATATTTTCAAATGAAATTGAGCGACAATTTTATAAGCTGTAGACATATTTTATGCGAAATCTTTATAAGAGGATGGCATTTCGTATGCTGGCGCGTGAATGAAGCTTTCCTTCGCGGATTACACAAGGTGTCTCAGGAGGAAAGGTCCACTGCTCCGAGAGCTGGATATAGTATCGGTCATTTTAAGCAAAAATGTTCATATGAACGAGTGTCCTATTCCGAACGGTTTCTGAGATGGAGCTATTTGAATGTACAGCAAAATTACCGATAAGAAAGATACATGCTTCACGCAGTGGCGAATATGCAGATATCTATGCTGTATGTTTACGACTTCTGCGATGGCAATGCCATGCTGCTGCTTTTGTGAAGATGTGCGGCAATTTTAACAACACTTCTACAATGTCACTATCAACAGTCACAACAGTCCACTGGGTGAAGCATGTATCTTTCTCATCACTAATTTTGCAACTGTACATTCAAATAGCTGTGTCTCGGAAGTAGGCCATTCGCTTATATAAACATTTTTGCTTAATATAACCGATACATCACCTCGGAAAGTAGTCATTCCTCCTGGGGCACCCTGAACATTTCTTATTTATTCAATACTATCAGTTATTAGACGAGATTTTATGCTAATGATAATTAGCGACTTATATACATTTGCCTTTTATACGCCAATTGCTATTTCGTTTTGAAATTTTATGCGAAAATTGGAAATGTAATCTCACATTATATATGTACAATTTGATATCAGTGACGCTGGTGACCAACATATAAAATTACTAAAAATATCAGTATCCATTTACTCTGTGTCGTAAACATACATCGGTCGCTGTTTATTACACTTATTATATTAAAAATGCATATTTATTCGCTTCGAAAAATCGACGAGAGCGAAACAATATTTTTGCGCGTAAAGTCTCTCATTTATCCTACCATGTTTTCCTAGTTCTTCCAACTTCCTTCAACTTGGTTACTGAACAATACTTCCGATCGTAAACTTACTTCCTTACGTGTGTAAAGTTCGCGAAACCTTTCTTCTTGCTTTATTAACTCTTACTCCGTACCAGCGAGATATTGGATGTGTGGTTTCGTTTTTTTTTGTATATCGCCTCTCTCACAAGCACAGCTGTAAGAAATAAATAGAGATCTTTTCACGAATAACTCAGTTATTGTACTTTTATTTGTTATCGATGGATTGTTAATAAATACCGTTTCGAGTCACAAGCGACGGAATGCAGATTTTCAAATATTTTCAAACGCACACACGCGCAGCAAATAGCATGTAGAATGCTAGGAATCTACGCAAACCAGTCGCCCTCAATTTGTTTGTCAAAGAACAAATAAAGCAAGAGAAGTCTGTCCATGATACAGGAAAACAATAATGGAAAATCTGTTTTGTATGAAAATTTGTTTGCGACGAAACAGTTTTTCGGGAACACCAACCACCCATTATAAAAAAAAAGAACGATATACATATTTCCAATTGTCCTATAAAATTAATTAAAGTACATACACTACATACTCCGTTTCTACAGTTGCCCGATCGTTTTAAGCTGTAATGAATTTCGTTCACGCGAGCTTTATGCATTTTGCGACGAAACGTCGTACGCTTCCCAACATACCTACGTAGTTAACAAAACCACGTTTTTAA